GAGGAGCGGCCCCCTCGGCCGGGCGTTGAAGCAGCCTCTCGCCAGCCCCCCCGCCGGGGACCACAACTACAGCCTCAAGGGACAGCGGACGGCGGGCGGGGAGGCGCGGCCGGTGCCGGAAGCCTCGCAGCAGCAGCAGGTCCCTGCTGCCGGGCCATGCTCCTCCGCCGCCCGCCGGCCCGGAACGGTGACGACCTTCCTCCGGGAGCTGGCGGACAAGCATCAGCTTTCTGAGGAAACCGTGAGTTTGCTGCAGGCCCAGTTTTCAGGTACTGCTGGAGGCGGTTGCTAAGGCAGAGAGCTTCGGGGTCCGTGCTCCCTCACCCCGGTTTTATGTACTTGTTTGACTTCACGATATACAGAACCCCTCATTCCTAGGTCCAGGGCTACGGTGCAAAGGCTGTGCGATTTGTAGCTCTGAGACACAACAGCCAATTCGGAAAGAATTAAAATCTCCTTGAAAAAACTCAATTACTTGTGGCTGGTTGTGGTGCTCAGGTCAGACCAAGGCTGGTAAACCAAACTGTGGCACCGTTCAGAAAAATTAAGAAGTTAGGAAAATATTCCCCTTGTCTTTTGTGCTGTCCAGAAGTAAGCTGTGTTCACATGAGTAATAGAACCCAAAGAAGCCATCTCAAATTGCAGGCTCAACCATAAGTTAATGGCTTCTCTCCTGTTATGGCAATTTTTAAGCAGAACTCACATCTGAAACAGTCTTTACTCAAAACTGTGGAATAACGTCAGATAGGAAAAAAATAGCAGTGTTGAACAGAGATAGCATTGCTGAGCTGCACGCTTCATGCAACTCAGGACTGTGATTCCAGAGCCCACCCTCTTGTTTGTATTCTGCAATGTGTTTGTGTTATGCATCCCTCTGTTAACACCTATTTATTTGCTTCACTAAAACTGACCTCCTTTTTTTTTTAAGCAGATTTGCCTTGCGAGTTGCACAGGTGGAGGCAGATGACAGAATATTCACCAGAAATGAAGCAATTTGCTTGTTTTCTACACCTCTACCATGTTAAGGCCTATGATTATCTACAGAAGATTTTTCCCCTCCCTCATCCTTACAGCCTGACAAAGCAAGTTTTTATTCATTCATTTTGAATGCATTTTTAAGTATGCAGGTAAAAATTGGTGTAATGCATTCAGCATTAGCAGTTTTTCCCTGCTTTGTTTTAGTATCAGAAGCAGAATGGGAAGCAAATGTCAAGAAATATTGTTACCCCTCTTCTCAGAGAGCTGGTATATGTGGGTCACAGCATGAGAATAACACATTCTTCACAGTAACAATTTTAGAGTGAGCATGGAGTTTGCCAAGTACTGCCAGCTTTTTTTGAAAAAAGCTACACTTTCGAGTCTCTGTATTTTACCGTTTGCTGGGGAGGCAGGGGGAATATAGAAAAGCAGTGGCTTTAACCTACTGGCACATGGCCTTGCTCTGTGTGGAGCAGACTTGTGAGAGGAGAGGGATGAGACAAATAGTGGAAGGAAGGGCAAATACAATTAAGGTCATCTAAAGAGCAGTAGCAGGAAGGCAGGGTTAAGTAAGGGAGCACCTGCAGTGCTCCAGCAGCAGCCTAAATCAGAGGAGAGAGGGGCAGGAATAAGAAGCAGTAGAGGAAATCAAAACCAATAGGATTAGACATGGAAAACTTTGGGGCTGTTTTCTGGGAAAGGGAGAAGTCAAGAAGGGAACATCAGAACGTGAAGGACTGCATAAAGCAGAGAAGAGCTTTGGTTATTCTTACCTTGCCTCACGAGGAACCTTGACAAGTGTATGCTTCAAAGTTATGGAAGGGAGATACTTCTGTATCACAACTCAATTGTGTAACTGCAAGTAGTTACATAGAATTTACTACCTGCAGCACTATCAGACCCATTAACAAGGACTGAAGTTGTAACAGCACACGGAAGCTGAAGTCACCCCACCCCCCACCCGCCAGGTTTTGAGTCTCAGAACTCCTGTAGTGTAGTTGGAGGATGCCCAACAGACACCCACTGTCTGTGCCAGCCTGTGGGGTCTTCACACAGCTTCTTCCAAAGGACCTGCTCAAATTGATGCAAGAAGGTAGTGGATGGACAATAGCATTCCTCAAGGGCTGCCAAGGTTTTCACATCTTCTAAACTGGATTATGATGTGCAGGGCAGAAAAAGCCACTTGGGAAGGAGAGCAGTCTGGTGTTGCTGGCCCTCGGTGTAGTCCGATTTGCACTTCTGTGTTTGGTTTAATCCTTTTTCCTCTTGTCCTTAAGAGATAGGAAGCTTGGTTTCCCTTCACTCAGGTGTGAGAAACTCAGACTATGCATTAAGAAAGGCAGGGCTGCTTGCTTTATACTGTTGTGTCTCAGCCTGCTCTGCAGCTCCAGACACGCCTGACCACAGGCTAAGTGGTAAAAGGTGCTGACTTGCTTCAGTTTTCTCAGAATCACATCTAATTGTATCCTCCCTTTTTTCCCAGTTGGCTCTCTAGAGATGAGGCTGCTGCAGGCTTCAGCAATGACATTTTTCTCCGCCTTCAGGAAAAGGTGGAGAGAGGGGAACAGGCCTACCGCGACTGTGCCCTGATGGTACAAGACATGTCCCTGCAGAAGCAGCAGGAGTGGGACCCTCACACCCAGCGCCCAACAGGCTTTATTGACCTGGGAGCAGGTGCACTCGATGCTGATGAAACTCCACTGGCCTTGGAAGCCATAATCCTCATGGCAGTTGGCATTTCGAGTCCCTGGACAGCTCCACTTGGCTACTTCTTTGTGAACAGCACAACTGGCCACTTCCTTGCTCAGCTGCTTCGTCACACCATTAATAAGCTGAACAACATAGGCATTGTGGTGCTGGCTGTGACGTCAGGTGCCACCGGTCGCGGTGCTGAGACTGCCAGAGCTCTGGGGATCAGGATAGATCCTGAAAGGATTCAGTGCACATTCCAGCATCCGCCTGGCTCTGCTCACAGCATTACATACTTCTTTGACATCTGCCACACACTACAGCTGATACGGAATGCTCTGCAGTGCTTCCAGAAGATAGAGTGGATCAGCGACACCGCGCAGTGGCAGCACATGGTGGAGCTGGCGGCTTTGCAGGAGCAGAGGGTGTTAGAGCCACGCAGTCCCGAGTTGGGCGAACCTGGGAATAAGGAGAGTTACCACCTGAAGATTAACCTTGCTACCCTGTTGTTCAGCGAGGGTGCTGCTGACGCACTGGAACACCTCCAGAAGCTGGGCCTGGCCTCGTTCCAGAACTGCAGTGGTACCATCAAGTTTGTGCGCTTGATAAGTCAGCTGTGTGATGTATTTCATAGCAGAGGTCCCTGGAGTAGGGGACTGAAGGGGCCTTTGCTAGCTGGAAATTACACCAAAATAGACCACCTCTTTAATGAGGCCAAGAGCTTCTTTACCACCTTAACAGACTCCATGGGGAGATACATTATTAAGAGCAAACGCAAACTAGGATTTTTGAGTTTCTTGCTCAACGCTGAAAGCCTCAAGTGGCTTTACACCAACTATATGTGTCCAGAAGATGCTCCTTCCCGCCACCTCCTGACCTATGCTCTCAGCCTTGACCCACTGGAGCTGTTTCTCAGGGCCATCCAGCAAGCCTGCAACAGCAGCGGGAGCCCCACCTGCACCATGTTCCAGGCTGCATATCACAAACTGCTGGCCAGCTGCAGCCTGGCACCAGTCTCACCCCACAGCTGTGGCTCAGGCAGCACAAGCTCCTGGGACGTAGCTCTGGTTCGTAGGAAAGATTTGAGCCTTGGCAGCGTGCGTGCTCAGTATAACCCAGCTGGCAGGAAGACCCCGTCCCAGTACCCCTGTTGTACTGGCCTGCTCTTGCGTGGCTCTATGCTGAGTAATGCGCTGACAGACCTCTCGCTGCATGCGCGGAGCGTCGCCTGTGCTGCGGGCTTCATTGCTGAGCAATTAGCCTCTGACTTGCAATGTGAGGCTTGTCTTGCTTCCCTTTTTGAGTTAGATGAGAGCAGGCTAAGGTGCAGGTCTGTTCTCTACGTAAAAAAGTTTGGTGGAGTGACTCTGCCCTCGGCAAGTGTGCACCACATCACAAGCATTTCAGAACAAGTCCTAAACCAGTGTGACAAAGTAGGAGATATCCACAAAGACACTAAGTTGTGGCATTTGTCTCTAGAACAGAAAGTCTTCCAGGAGCTTCTGGGAGAAAGTCTCCTCTTCCCCACCCTCACAGACCATTTGTTTGATGGGGAGTTGTGCATCAACAACCACTACACGATCTTGGTAAAGAAAATAACGCAATGTTACTTAAACATCAGAACAAACCATGCCAAACACCTGAACTTGACCAACCACTGTAGAAAGCACAGATTGAAGAGACTGAAGGGAAAACATGGGTTTCCATCACTGCTGGGTAGCTGTCAGTCAAGCCAAACCCACGTGGGATCATGAGTCCTCATTGCTCTTCTAAGGATGTTGGCCCCTGCTGAGATTCAGTGATGGCCAGATTAGGCAACACACACAAGGAAATGATGTGTTTTCCCATGATTTGGCCAGCAAAACTAGTGTTGGTATGCAGCAATATGTTGGGCTGCTGCAAACATTCCTATCAGAGCTTCACTGCGCAAAGCAAGGGAGTTCATCTGATCCTGTGTTACATCCTGCAAAGCAGGCACGTATTTCATGAGACACGTGGCAGTCAGGATGAGCAACAGTTGCTCAGGATGTCTGGGGAAGGGTTAGGGGACACTCTACAATGTCCCCTGGAGATGGTGGGTGGCTTAGTGCTGCAAGTGCCCTTGCCAGAAGAAAATTAATGCGTCTTCCACGTGGTTGGGGGGCATGCATGTGTACTGGCACTTTGTTGTCACCAAAGCAGATACGCTTTCAAAAAGCTGGAGGTAAGAAAGTTTACAGAACTTTTACTTGGAAAATAAAGTCACAAAAAGAAAAGAGCACTCAAGTTGTATGCAAGCTCTAATCTCCAACACGTCTCATCAAACACCCAACAGGCAGTGTAAGTCAAGATCCCGTGGAGGGGGGAGTGCAGTATCAAACCGCACCCCTAAGGCCCCACATTTGACAAGTGAGGTAATTGACCCATGGCTGTTGTCCATGAAGTCCCAGCACAGTGCTGAGACTGCGACCGGGCTGTTGGGTCCAGCAGTACCTATGGGCATTGACACCCTCCTCTCAGGGCAGGAGCACCATTTTGGGTGCTGTTACACAGCCCCATCCTCATGGAGCTGGCATGTGCGCTGCAGCCCAAGGCATGAGGCAGTCTCCTGTTCAGATCTTGTTTCCACCAGTGACTTGAATCACAGGTTTGATGCTATGGAGTGGGACAGGCTGCTTCAGTCAGTTCACTTTCCCAGCAAGGAAGTTGCCTTAGTGTACATTGTTTCACCTGGAATAGCAAAGTTTGTTGTATTTGCTACTAAATGGCTTCCCTCTGCTATGCAGAACAGCAAGTCAAAACAGAAGGCAAGTATTTCCCACAAAACTCTGGCTGTTCTTTTACTTCCGAGCTGTGTTTTGAAGATAGAATGAAAAATGGTGATCCACCATATCCCAGGGCAGGAAGAATATTCAAGGTGCCATTATGCCTAGCAGTGACTTGAAAAAGCTCTCCCTTGTCAGTCTGGGTTCTTTCTCCCTCCATGTCCTCAACTCAGGGTAGGTAAAAAGTCAGTGTGAGGTTAATGGTTGGACTAGATGATCTTCAAGATTTTTTCCAACTGTGATGATTCTGAGCGGAGCTGCTGCACTCAATTCCTCAAGCTCTGCTTTGAGAGCCACAGCACCGCAGAGCTTCATGCATTCTCTGCTGGGAGTAGCAAATCAAAACATCTAGAGTTTATTTTTCTAGTCCAATTATCTGTGCAAAAATTTTGAAGCTGTCGCTGCCATTGAGCCATTCCAGCTACAAGAGACTCTGCGGGAAACTATTTCCCTCCCATATACATGTGAGACGATTTTTAGGACAATGGGCAAAACTCCATTGAAAATCCTGGTGGTGGACTGGTTGCACTCACATAACGTTGAAATATTTGTGTTTTCTGAACCTCCAGACCCAATATGAGCTGAGCTGTAGGGAACAGGCACTTCCTCGCTGGGCATTTTTGATTGCTGCGTGTCAGCCTGCTGCAACCTTGTGTTTACACCTGAGGGAGCTGGCATAGCTCAGTTCTTTCTGAGCCTCCTCTTGAAGGGGAAGCCCTTGCACAAAGATGCATGAGGGTTCCTGGCTGTGGCACCAAGCTGTGAACATGGCAGGTGTGCCACGCACAGGGCTTCCCCAACTGAATTTCTCTGAATTTCGATTCAGCTGTGCTGACAGGCTGGCCTCTGGGTGTTTCCGTGGCTGCCCTGCCTGTAACCATGACCACCAGAATTCACACATCCTTTTCTAAGTCACTGAAATACTGATGACAGGTTTTCAAGACATGTTGAGGAAACTTTACAGGGCTTTGTAGGATGAGGTTTGAGCAAAAGCACGTAAGAAGAAAGTGTGTCCATTATCTAGTTAACAAAGCTATACAATACTATAAGAAAGCTTGACAGTTGTGATATAGGAACCCTGTACCAATTGCCATTATTTTCCAAAAATACAGTCCTGCTGTTGCCTACAGTCCTGATACTTGCTGGCTGTACTCACACCACAGGAACTGTCAGGTTTCAGTGGAATTTTTCAGCATTCCTACTCCACAATTGCGACCAAGTGCTTTTCTGCACCACTCCTTTTCCCACAGTGTCTTTCAGACACTGTTTTCTCAGCAACTCCTTGCTCAGATGTTCACCTTTTCCCTGAAACAGGCTCTCTCTTGCCCTCCATGAAGCCCACACAGACCCAACCCCATAGTCACTCTGAGCACCTCACTCCTTCTCTCATCCTCTATTGCAGCCTCCTCTCACAGCAACTGGTATGCTAAGGGGGAAAAGCTCAGTTCAGTAACATCTTCCATTCACTCAACATCCTAATAACACTCTCAAGACTCCCTGAGCATTGGTCATATACTACCTTTACCAAGCTTCTAAAAAAGCTGAACGTAGTAATTGGATGCACAAATACAACTAGGTTTTACTTTGTAGAAACAAACCACAAGCTCTCTTAACTGACTTGTATTCCTCAGTGCAACTGAGTAACACAGCTTTGCAAGAGCTGCTCACAAACCCCCTCCCCAAGAAACATATAAAAAGACATAAATGCCACAAGAAAACAGTGCATTGCATCCTGCTAACAAGCAGTCTACAGCTCTCAACAAAGCTTTGCCTCAGAGTTCTGCCTGGGGTCCTCAAAGGTGTTGCAGAATGGCCTTCTGCCATGTGCCACAAATTGCTACACAAGTCAGCATGCTAGTAACCACAGTTTATCTCTGGTAGGATTTGATCTCATACTGAAAAATCCAAGCCAGTACTTGCATCAGAAGTGGGCCTAGTGTTAACAGATTTATTTTGATATTTCAGTGAAAATCTGTGTGTATGTCAGTGCTGAAGGAAAGGAGTGCAAAAACTATCGTATTTACAGAATAGTATAAATGTTTATTTTTCTTTGTGATTTATCTGAGTGTTTTATTTGTACAATATAGAAAAGTGTACTCTTTGAATAGGTCTAGTAAATATAAATTTAATTTTCCTACTTTCCAATGTAAACAACTAGAAAATGAATCCTTGCCCCACTCCCAATTATTTTTATGTAACTGGATGAAATTGACTGTGAATCTTGTCCAGCAGTTTGATGCAAATGGCTAAGGAAGTACAAAAAACAACTCACACATTCTACACCAGGGAGAGGGGAGAGAGGAATTCAAGCTTAATATCTGAGAAAGCTTGTTCAAAACAAAATAGAAGAACTAAGAGCATTTGATTGCACCTTCAAAGTCTTTACAAGCAAAATATTCTCAAGCAATGCCATCATACATAATTACAACTGTAATTAAATTTCACAAGTGTTTTTGCACACTGTATATAAATACACATCACAAAAGGTGCAATTTAGAGTAAAACAGATTATATACAAAATTAACATGAAGTCTAAAGAAAAGAAGGCATATTGCAATCTGTTTGAAAAATATGTAAGTAGGTATTACTTTATTCACTTACTCTAATTTACATTTATACAAATCTTACTGGACACACTATGGTCACTAGAAGTAAACTGAATATCCGCACTATCTACACGTAAAGTTACTGCACTGAGTTTTTAGTAAATCCAAGTCCTAATTATGAAAAAAATGGCATTTACTTGCACAAGAGGTGGGTTCCCTTTTCAGAGATCTGCACAAATACACTTGCTATTTAAGTTCAAAGAGATGTTAATAGCAGACAGGGCCCTTCATACAGCAACTGGCAGGTCAGACCTTGTCTGCAGTGGCTGCTTAACAGGCCCACCACCACAGCTGGCCACCTCCCAGGCCCTTTCTGCCCCCAGAGGCATTTCGAGAAGGCTCCAGAGAAGGGTCAGGGAGAAAGGGCCTTCTGCTTGGTGCACAGGATCATGGGGTGAAGACAAGAGTGGAAGCATCCCCCCATGGTATTGCCATCACACATGCAGGCACTTTGCTCCGCTGCTGGTTTGCCTAGCTCCTACCTTTCGTCAGCCTGGCCCTGCTAGAAAAGCTGGAGGAAGAGCTCTGCTGCACTTTTCTGTATTTATAGCTTTACAGGAGGAATACAGAATCCCTTTTGGAAAAACCTAGCTAGGAAAAACTTGCAGTGAGACAGGTAATAAAAATGTTTGTGGTTAAACACGGTTATTGATGTTCACAGTAGCTAAGTAACCTACCAGGTTAATTTTGCAAACACTATCTGAGATTGCCTGTAATAAATAATGAAAAAAAATCTCCTGCCCATGTCTAATACACAGATTTCCCCTGCCCCCCAGCTTTGTGCATCTGTTTTGGTAACAATCATGATTCTGTGCTAGCATCCTCTCAGATCACGGCTTTCATTCTAAACAACATGAAGAAGTAGTACACTAATTTCCAACATACAGAGAAGCACCATCCTGAAGACCCACAACCAGGCTGAACATGATCCCTACCTGTGTTTGCAAGTCGATTTGGATGCAGATTGTCTCGAATCCTTTTTAAGACAACTGTGGTTCCACTGTCTCCCATGACCTCAGCTTCTCAGACTTTTCCAGGGTGACAACTCAATCCTAGAAAATACAACAGGCTGCACTGCCCTTCCTCCAGTGAGGGATTAGGCTGCTGCAGACCTCTGAAAAACCAAGCTTCACCCAAGCAACAGCATCCATATGCTGCATACTTAGGTAACACTGCACACTGGGCAGACAGTCTGGCATCACAGCACAGCTGCTCTTTCTCACTTCTGAGAAAAGGCCACTGTTTGAGCCTTCAAGTTCTAGCTTAAGAGACATCTGAGCTCTCAGTCACATTCCTATAAAAAAATTTCCATTAATTCCATTCACCTCAAAACTCCTTGGGCCCTGCTCCAGTAAGACTCTCCACCACTTGCCCAGTGCTAAATCTGCAAGCAACCCCTCTGTATTATTGCCTATGTATTTCACAGTGCTCCGTGCACTAAAGGAACATGCTGTGTCAAGTCCTATATACAAGTCCTACCTTCCATTTAGATCCTCATTTTTACACAATTCCTTTCAGAACTATCTTGGATACACTGATACTTCCTTATTATTGGCCTGTCGCCAAAAGCATCACCTGGCTGTTGACATCACCTATGTTTTCCTATATGCACAGTGATGCAACTCCATACACTGTAAATAATATATATTATAATAATTTATATATGCCCTTCAGGCTATTATTCTGGGGGAAAGGGGAGAACACATCTAATGTTTAAGAAACCCAATGTAAAAGCTGTACATTGGCAAGAAGATTTGACCTTTAGGCATTGTCTTAAGTAGAAGAGGATTTAGCTAAGATTTAAAAAGCTCTGCATCTCGTTATAAAAGATTTTCTTGTTTCAATCTTATACAGGTCAATTTACAACAAGCACCAAATTAACAAATATTATTAAATCCTCTATGCCAAACAAAAGTGTCCCTGTGCCTTAAGTGTTCTGTTCAGTCCGCTTCGTTGTGGCTCATGTGCACGAGTCAGCAGTTCATGGCACAAGGGTCACTTTTGGACTTCCCTGCAGAGTTAATAACTCTCATCAAACAGCGTCCAAACTCCTCCAGGATCATGCGCTCTGCTGCAGCTTTTGACTTGCCCATCTTCTCCGCTTGCTCTGCCTGGGCGAGAAGGCATTCACAGGTTGCATCGGCTACCTCCTTAGTTACAAAAGTAAAGGGCAGCCTGAAACAAAGACAGATCCACTCACTTTCAGCAAAAACACATAGTGCACCGAACAAGAGGGCTGCGCAACTTTTTAGTACAAGGACTGATGAGATTTCATCTGTCTCATTGCTTCCAAGAGCCTTTAGACAATTAGCAGGGAGTGAATAAGCCACAGTTAGTGTCACATGAACTGGTGGGCCATTGCGCTTTGGGGCCTGCCTCCATTGATGTACATTTTGAAATAGCCTTTGAAATGCCCACATACATAGAACAATTCTCCAAATTTTACTATAAGGGCAGCTCAAGGATTACATCCTTTAGTAAATGGAACACTTGTGCTTCATGCTTTCTGTGAGCACATGGTCAACCAAGAGAATGTTTAGTGACACACTGGAGCACAGCTAAGCTTAGCATACCCTAGGTTCCACAGAAAGCACGGTTGTGTGAATCTCCATTCACCTGAGCACTCCTGCTTCTACAGTTTACACAGAAAACATTCAAAGGTGACAGAGACATACCTGTCATATATCAGAAAAAAAACACATTAGAAGCAACCAAAACAGGGTGCTGCCTTAACTTACTTCCCGCCACCACTGCTGAGTGCTGGTGTTGGCCTTGTCAGCAGATCTGAGATCTGGGAAGATAACTTGGTCTTTGCAGCGGTCTGCTGCTGCACCCTAACTTCCGCAGCGTCTGCTAAATGCATCAGTGTCTTTCGCTCTGGGCTTTCTTCAAAATTTTTACAGCCAATACATTTGCATATGGAAGAACACATGATTTTTGCCTGAAACAAACAAACAAAACATGAGAAGCCTCTTGCAACCTTGACTCCCTTTGAAACAAATCAAAATGAAAAGATCTTGTTTTAATCTCTTATTAATTAGTCACTCAAATTATCCATTAGTAGTTTTCTCTCCAAATTCTCACCTTAAACTGAGATGCCTTTCCAGAATGTATACCTGAATCAAATGCATATCAGTGGTTTCTGACTTATCCCTTTCTTCACCAACCTACTGTTAACTGTGGAATTTAGGTGGCTGAGCTGTGAGAGAGGTCAGTCTGACTCTGCCTCTATATCCACAAACCCATCAGTTAGCTGACAACAACTGTTGCTTTTGTCTTCCACAGACATGTTCTATCCTAGGACATCTGCGGGATGCTGCTTCAGCTTCTCCTAGGGACTTCATACAGCAGATTTCTTTAGGAAATACCACTTTTAGTAAAGGAGAAATCCAAGTCTAAGTTCAAAGTTAAACTTATGCAACAGAAGTGATCAATTCTGACATATACATGGCTTTCTGTGTGCGAATTGCTGGAAGAAGAGATAACATTACAGCAATGGAAAATAATAGAAAACATTATAGCACTCAGTACAAAAAAGAGAAAGCAAATCATAAAGGTTGCAACACTAAAAGGGAAAAAGACGGTATCTTTAAGATGAGATAATGCTTCGTACCTCATAACATTCACAGTAGTTTTTGAGACATCCTGAGCGTTTACAGTTACACCCTTTGCTGTGTCTTCGATCCGATTCTCCTTCCTTTCCTTTACCTATTTTGGGCTTGAAGGCTTCAGGGTTTCTGTCAAGGCAGGCCTGTCAATGCAGACCCAAAGGGTCAGTCACTGCATGCAGGGACCAGAATTTAGGGGTGTGATAAAGAATTTAAACCTTGCACATGTGGGAGGAGGTCAGGGCCTTACACACCCACTCTGCCCCATACCATAGCTTCAGAAGACAGAAGTTAAATGGCTTTGATCCCAGGGACAGGGGAAGAGGCCCCTCACCTTTATTGCTTTTTGTCTATCATTTTCATGGTCCAAGTTGTTGTAACAATTTGTACAGTTGCAGTTATTGCAGAATTCACCATTTGCGAAACAATCACAATACCTGAAACAGAAAATGCAGACGGCATTTGTAAACACAACCGTTACAGTGGTGTTAGTACTGATGGCAGTAGCAGAAGGTCCTAGTCTGACGATATGCACACACAACAATAGGTGTAAGGGTCACTCTGTGCTATACTCCATGTGTACGAGTGGTATCAAGCCTCACTGCAAGACCTAAATCCTCTAGCGCAGGTCTAGCTGCTGTCTAAAGACACAGGTATAGCTCCAGGGTGTCTGTTGCAGCTATGTGTTCACATAGCACAGGTCCCCATAGCAGCAAGAGAAGCTAATGAAGCTAATGAGACTTATTTCTAGGGTGACTCCAGGGTGGCTGACCCACACGTTGAGGGCCATCCTGCCACAGCCACCTCATCACCAGTTCCTGGCCCAGCCACTTCAAGTCAGCCCTCAGGAGCTCTCCTACAGCCAAAACAAAAGGCAAGCCATTGGAGTGCCAATCAAACTGACTAACACAGCAACCAGCCTTTTTTAATTAATTTTGCCCCTAAACTGTTTACAGCTATGAACCGAGGCAGAATTTGCCATAGCAGGGATGGAATAGAAGAGGAACTCGTTCGTGGTACACCTCATAGGCTTTGCAGCACAGGTAAAATAGAAAAGGATCCAGATGAGGATAAAGATGTAATTATCTGAGATTTTTTTAAAGGGACAAGTCTGTGAATAAAAAGCAGCAAAACACTGACAGGAAAAGCCAATCACATTGCCATGCTTCTTATGTACCTCTGCTACCTCACACCAAAACCAAGATTTCACGACACCATCCCACAGATCTGATACATGGAAGCACCACATTCACTGTCAGATCAAACGTGGCTTTGGATCACAACAAACTCTGGCACGTTTCAATGTGTCCACTACCACCTCCACCTATAGCTGATGGAAACTGCTGATCCTCTTCAGTTACCTTTCAAATCCTGCTGGGAGCACATCTTTAGGAGTCTGAACCCCTTGCAAAACTGGCTTCCCGTGGCTAGCCCAGGGTTACACTATAAGAACTAGATTAGGGTTGGCCCAGAGTCCACTACAACCCTTCATCTCGTTGAACTGCATTTTGGTGATTTTTAGCAACCTGAATGGTCCTAGGGACAAACTATATCAAAAGCTTTACAATCTGTAATAGCTCTCCTTTCTGACCTGTATAAAAATCAGTAGTGGAATGGTCCTGGTTTCCAAAACAAACAGCACCAACATCAACCCAGAACATCAGTGAGCAAATAACTTCTCTGAGTTTTCTTCTTTCAGGCTATGTGCCTACCTTCAACATTCATTTGGGAAAAAGCAACTCCCCTTCCAGATGGGAAATGTTATACTAGGGAAAAAGCACCTTTAGTGGAGTGAATTAACCATTTGCTCCACAACAATGCCTAGCCATTACATATATATATATATATATATATATATATATATATAATTACAGTAATTTATAAGAAAAGTTTGTTTCCAAACAGCATTCTGAAGGTACAAAGCATCACCAGCAATGTTATTATTCTCCTAGAATTTCTAGAGCATTCAGTTGCCAAAGACTAAAATAAAGCGGAAAACCCTAAGCATCTAACATATATTTGGCACTATGAAGTCAGTCACATATGTCATAAAACATTTGAAAAACCAGCTACACACCTTCCTGTTTACCATATCTTCTCTGCAACAGACAATTTTGAGGCTAGGAAGCACAAGGCACACCTCCCTACACAGAGGTAGGGTGTATTACATTAAAAGAAACCCAAGTTAAAAAGTTTAAAACACACTTCTTAACTTGGGTTCAGATACTGCTGCATCACTTTCCCTTTGAGTAGCATAACACCAATTTCCTCTTTAACATCTATAATTCCAGGAACCACAGATTAATTTCACTATCTACTCCTGCTTTTGTCCCAAAACTGGTAAACTGACTTTAACTTGAGACAAAGAAACTTAACATCTCCTCATCTTAAAATGATTTTATGTCAAATTCTTACAAAGACACTGAATGGAATAGCAGAATATCTCATGAGGATGGGCAGGACTTAGACCTATCAGTGAAGAATCACTTGTCTATTCAGTCATTTAAGACAACACACAGCCCAATTTTTTTTTAAGTACTTGATACAACATGGTATCATCAAAGTACAGTAGATACCCACTGATGATACCATGGGATGTCATTTCACTCAGAGCAACAACACAACTACAGCTGCTGAGTGGAATTGCTTCCACCACACCAAAAAGTTGTGAAATCAGGAATTTATAAAATGTTAGGGTCTATATAGCTCACAGGAGTTACAAAATTACACAGGCCCTGCAACATCTCCACCAATATCAACAGCAACCTTCAATTAGCATTAAGACATAACATTTCTGACATACTTATAAATGTTATATTCTGATACTTGGCTTAAATTTGTGATGCCAAAAATAAGGCTTAAAAAACCCAAGCTGTACTTACAATTTCAAACATAGAGACTTAGTACAATTGCAAGGCTTCCTCGGCCGGTTTGCAGATTCAGAAGGAATTATTCTGGGGGGGAGGAGGGAAAAAAAGTGCATTTAATACATGCATACTGTTTTATCAGTTTCTTCCTACTTTAAATTCAAGTATATCACTCATAGGAAAAACTCAAAAGAGGATCTTTATATTGCCCTTGCATTAGGTTTTTGGCTGACTATGTTTAAGTTAGCCTATAGTGCCTTTATATAGTGCCCTTCCAACCCAGAAAGAGATGGGTTTATTTGCTGCAAGTCTGGCTGCATGCCTAAAGTAGAAATGCGATTTAAAGCTAGAGGAAGCATCATAATCGAAAACTAGAATCAGGGAAAACTTCCCCAGAACCCCCCTACATGCAAAGGGACTAGATGCAAACAAGGTTCACACAATATGACTGTGTCTCTCCTTTTGTTCTAGTTGAAATTAAAACAAAACAGAACAAAAAAAAGCAGCTCCAGAATAATTGGAAAGCAAGCCAAAACATGGTGTTCAGTTGACAGATATATTTTGCATCAGACACAGTCTTTAACAGCTCTTAAAACCCAAATTTTGTGTCACTAATCACTTTTGATGAAATTCATTCCATCCCTATCCAACACTTTCAGCATATAATGCCAGGGAGATTAAATCAAACCCATTTGTTTGAATAGCTGCATCTAGGTTTTGGATTAGTTCGTATCCATTCAAGTTGCAAACAACAAAACACACCTTGGCCTTCCAGCAAACAGTAACACAAAAGGACTGTGGAGAACAGCTAAGGCTGCTGGATTGGCAAAGGGAAGATAATACATGTTAGCTGTTATTTTTATCCTTAAAGAAAAAATACAAGACTAAAAAAAATCAAAGCCTGGTATGAGGATTCATTTTGGGCTTTAGTTCCATTTTGCTGTTCAGCTGGATTTCTGCATGTGCTAAGCATCTAGCTCTTATATTGCCCAGCACCTCTTTCCAGCAACGTCAAGAAATAGTTGAGGCTGGTGGCTCCCAGGTGCTGATGTAGAAAGAAGAATGAGCAACAGGAAGCTTTCAGGTCATCTTCCTGCTACATGAGTTTAAAAAACAGAAAGGAAAACACAGCTCTGATGAAGAGGCCACCTCAATTGTCAGACAGATCCATGTCCTTTAGTCAGAGGTAATAACCATACCACAGTATACTAGATTTACTTGGAAAATCCCCCAAAGCAAACTCCAATACCTAAGCTCCCACTTTTCCTTATAATGAGTGTGAAAGATGTTAATTTAGCAGCCTATACTACAAGTTTTTTTGGTTTTTCTTTGCAAAACACTCACCCGTTGAATGGCAGCCGTGCTTGTGACTGGATACTAGATGTCCCTGTAAAGCCAGTGTTGCTTGCTATAGATACATATGATGACTGTTGTAGCTAACAAAACAAAAACGTTAATGTGTAACACAAAAGAGATTAAAGTATACACAAGAGGACCTATAGCTAGTTTTTTAAAATTAGTTTTCCAGATATTGTTATAAAAATAATATGCTTGCACAGTTTTAGACCTTTATGGAACTTGGACCAGACGGCAACCTCCTGCCTCCACACTTAGAATAAAAAGTTATTTTAGATGGTTTTTATGTTCTCTATTACAGTGCCTACAGCCATACAGGTAACAGGCTACACACAAGTGTTCAGAGTACAAACTGTTCCAGCTCATAAAAACATGGTGATTTCCCCTCTTCTTCTCCTAAGCAAACCTGCCCCTAACAGAGCAGGATTGCTTCCTGCAGAAATTACTTTAGTAGCTTCCTTAATATATAAGCCACTTAATATGGAATTACATAAAAGCAAGTGAAATCATTTCCACTTCAACTTCTCTGCATATCTGGACTGCATGGTTTTTCACATTAAAGAAACAAAACCTCCTAAAAACCTGCCAAATGACACTGTTTTGGGCTCCCTTCTTTTGTATTACCTATGCACAGCCATTTTCTCCTGCTGGGACAGGTTCTGAAGACAGACTGGTACATAACAAGATATGACCAGGCCAAAGAGGACAGATTGGGTTCGGAACAAAACTTCTGAGAAGAGGTCCAACAAATGGTATTATTTAGTTTAAGGTAAGATTTGTGAAAGCGGACTGGAAGAAGTGGCAAGAGTCTTCAGGGTTAAACTGCAGCTGTGACAAAACCAGAAGGGAACACGAAATGAGGTACCAGTAACACCATGAGCTAACAGACTTCTTGTCTGTACAGACTGGCTGGTCAGCCTTCAACAGAATGTTTCATTTATCTTCCCTTTTCATTATGAATGTTGGTCACATCTTGGCAAAGAGCAAAAAACATAATCCCTAGACCTGGGTTGGCGTGACCAGTACCCCCTGCTTCTGACTGCTGGTAACGTGGTCAGCGTAACAAACGCCATTTTATAATGCAAGCACCGTTCTCTGTGACTGAGTGGTTGCATACTCATTTCCTTTCCCCTCATTATCTGGCCATAAAGGCCCTGTGAACCTGAAGTAGACAAACTAAACAGATTTCTTCTTCCACTCACTACTGGCCTCAAGATTCCTGGGCACCAGGCAGATTACCCCCTTCCTTACTGTCCACAGAGGTCTCAGGCACCCAGATAACCAGGTGGTGATGACGCTGCCACAGAACGGGCAAGTGTAACAGCACACATTGTACACAGTCTGTACAATCAAGCACTTACAAGTCCTAAGTGAGGAACCTGGGCCAGAACTGCTGCTGGACAGCGAGATGTGATGTTCGGATGGCCAAGGATGCTTCCACTGACATCTGCTTCCCCCATGGATAGAGTGACTCAGACTTCTTTGTGATTTTTGAGTCTAGATTATGCTTTTTGTATCAATAAAGCAAACCATGTATTAAGAATCTGACCTGATCTTCAGAGGGTCTAGGCAATTAGAAGTTCTAAATTAAGTTGTATTATAAATTACGTACTACACTATTTATAAATAACTGTATTACACTGATTCTGCTTATAGAAACCCTGTGCTATTCTGGTTATAAGTTCTATGCTATGCTAAGCAAAAAATCCTGTTAAGAAAATGAAGTTTTAATTGTAACTACAATTTAATGCTGTTATCACTGTGCCACGGATCCCTAAAATAAACTGTGTCCCATTATTGTCAGATGACAGGTGGTGAGCACGAACCTTTAGGAGGAAAGCAGTATGTTCCACAACAGCTCTATTTTCTTATTTATCTCTGGGTTAACACCATACCTGTGTGACATACTGAGCTGGAAGGACTGCATAGCCAACGTTTCCTGTACCCGGTGCTGGTGCCAGCACAGTGCCCGGTGGGAGGTTGGTGAGGTTGGGCTGTATCTGTGGCAGTGGAGTGGCTGGCATAATAAGTCTTTGTTGGGGCTGACTAGTAGTAACTATCTGGGAAGTTGGGTTAATCGGTTTGGGCACCACCTGGAGAGAAAAGAGGTTTTTATGAACTCATTGTTTGTTGATTCAGAATGCACTTTTATTAATAGAACATTTCATTACAGTTCTGAAATCAGACTTTTCTTTTCCTTGTCCAGCCAAAATAAGTCAGAATATGCCTTTCACATTTAGCTCACCTGTTTCACAGTCTGTGCTGGCACTATGGGAACAGACATCCGCACTGGGGTTGCATTCACCACCACTGGCTTCGCTAGTATCGAGAAACAACATCGCATTAACACACATTATTAACTCAAAGCCCACATTCAGTCTTCCAGATTTTTATATGCATGTAACGCAAAGGTACTTAATACTGTAACTACACACTGAGATTAACAGACCTAACTCACGGCACATAACATTTATGTCTAAAGAACACCATTGTAAACATGTACTTGGCACAAGACTGCGTGCACAGTTCACAGAAATGCATAAAAAACCAAACACCTTGGGTACACAGCTCCTCTGGACACTGGATTTCCCTTGGCAAGAGGAGATTACAAAACCGACAGGTTAGTTTGAAATCTTTTATTCCATCACAGATTTGGAAAGCGTGGACAGAAACATCTGGTGCTCCTAAAGCATTTTAAATGGAAGGATCTTGATGTTGCAGGAGTTTTGGCAATATGTTGGTAGGCTGTTCTGGCTTCATACTTTTCATACAGAGGATCTGTGACTTGCCACAAGTCTGGTAAACTAGGGGAAAGCAACCTCAAATGCTTCAAGGATTCAGACCCAACTATAGAGCAACTTGACAACTAGGAGAGTTTCCACATACAAACCAGAGTAACAATAGAATATGAAATTTATAGGAGTCTACCACAAAACCAAGCACATCTGGCAGTCTTGATAGATCTCTTATGTACTCATTTTAATCCTTACAAAACAAAAACATGAAAAAAACCACAAAAGACTTCAGACAACACATTAGCACCAGCACTTACCCTGTTGAAGAGGCTGTGTATTTGTACTGGGATTTTGACTGGCTGATTGGGTTGAACTATTGGCTGTTGTGGCAGTAACAAGTCTGACATAATGGAACTTGCTTCCAGGTACCTGAATCTGTTGAACATTAGGTGCAGTTGCCAAGGGAATAATTGTCTTAAATTGAGATGTACCCACTCCTCCTACAGTAATGGTCTGCACTGCTGATTTCACACCCTGTTAAGCCAACATAGAGGGCACAAAGTTACTTGCACAATGGCAGAAAGAATGTCAGCGTGTTTTGTTTACTGAATTTGTCAGTGAGCAACTCTCTAATCCATTCATATCCTTGAGAAGCAAGTCAGTTATCCCCATTTTTGCTTTCAAAAGCAAAACAGATGCAAAGAGATTAAATGTCTCTCAACAGCTCAGAGCAAACTCAGTTCAATTTTCAATGCTCTACACCAAACACCAGAGTAAATCAATAGTTACATGAGTAGGGTCACTCAGTCCACTTCCCCAGATACAATGTCTGTCAAAACCACTTCAGGTGACTACAGAGAACATTGCTCAGTTTGTATTCAAAAAAAATCAAGCAACAAACCAACCTAGAAATATTCCTACTAATACAACACATGGTAAGAACTTGCAGAACCGTTTGTGCTGAACTGTGGCATGATTTATCACTGTGTGTACAGGTATGTCCTGTTAAGACACTTTGCAATTAATACACAGAAATCACTGTGCAGCCCTTGAGAAGGAAACAGAACAAAGTCCATAAACTGACAGCTGAAGATATAAGAAAGAAGGCACAAGCCGAGACACTAAAGAAGCAACAACAATGAAAAGTGGCAAACCACATTTATTAGGAAAAAACCCAAAAAGGGAGTTAAGCAGACCTGTGCTACCTCACAACTGGAATAATGGTACATCTGGAATTTGCAGGACTTTGTATTTCCAATTTATCTATCTATAAATACAAGCAAGTATTAATTTCTATTTATACACTTCCATAAGTCTACTGGCTTGATAATGATCTCTTTTTTCCAGTCTTACTGGCAAACTCAAACTTTGGTTTTCTTTCTCCTTTTTGTCCTTCCATCTAACTTCTTTTAGAGCTCAGCTTTTTATTCTCAGGATTTTAAATTTAACAATCAATATTAAATATCATTGCCCTTGGCATTAAGTTTTAGTATTATATTTGGTTGATAGTATGATGTGTCGTCTTAGAAGATTTTCCCAGCTCCCCAGCTTTCAGCAACCTCACAAATGAAATCTCACTTTGTATATATTTCACTGGAAATAAGTTTGGGCTTTTAAAGTAAGATGTTTGCTTGAGATTTTTTTTTAAATATACTGAAACATCAACAACCCAGAGTGATTCAAAATAAGAACTATCTGCAAGCACAGTCACAGCCTAAGTGTTATCACAGGGAGACCAGCATGGGCAAAGTTCCCTCTAACACACAAATTAATGGTTTCCATCCAAAGACAACTGGGAAAATTGTAAAATTCAAGTGATAGCTCTTCTAAGGGCATGTTCTTGAGCTGAGTGAAGACAGGTGAAAGCCTTATGTTGTGTCGGATATCTCTGGATCAGAACTCTATGCATACCACACAGCCATCTCCATTTTGTCACTTAGGGTGCTTGAGTTAGAATGACTTAACCTAACAACTGTTTCAAAAAGACAACTATGCCAGTTTTACTCTGGAAAAAAAAGAGAAATATTCAAAACATGCTGGTGTCCATATCCCCATATCAGCATTCCAATTATCACCTGTATCAATAAGAGGAGACAATCTGTCCGAGTCTCTGGTCTCCTTGTTGTACATGCAACTGTGTCCACTGCCTGCTATATTACATCCTCTCTGGTTATTTACAGTCATGTTTACCAAAACAGACGTCAAGATAGAAAAAGATTCACCCAAGATTACAAGAGAGTAAACTGTAGTTTGTAAGAATGGTCAGTTTTGTCTTGACATTCATTAATGCAAATTTATCAAAGCTATTATAGAAAACTGATATTTTTCTAGAAATTGGACACAAGAAAGTTATAATTTCTAATTCTGTAGGTCTCAAAACCATGGTGTCTTGCATAAGCAGACCGCTACCACAAGAACATGAACTCCACTGATGCAAACCTCAGAAACACCTGGAAAGCAGCCCTTGCCAGTAGCACAGAAACACTGGTAGAAGAGAGAACAACACAAACAACTCATCCTTGTGTCACAGGAAGCCTTTCAGATTTGGGAGATTCAGCATATAGTGACAATAACTTGGACCAAGTAGGGCTTTCCAGGTTGGAAAGCTGCTTTCTAAAATCACACTCTCATGTATGGTCTTACAATGGCTTGTACCCCTTGAATGAAGCAGCACATGCGCCTCAGGGCAATGCTTTTTGTCAATTCTTAAGCAAGCACTATTACAAGAACACCTTGGGACTGACCACTGCCAATTAGCAGTTCAACACTTCAGTTTCCCTCGAGCGATGAGACAGAGACATGCTGGAAGACAAAGGAAAGTCAGTCTGTACCTGGGCAGTTGTGTGGTTGACTATAGCCTTCCCAGGGGAGGAGGGCGCTGACTGCTGCACTGTGAGGATCTGCTGTCCTAACGCTACATTCAGTGGGACACCCACCGTCTTCTGGGGTGAGTTGGGAGGCTGGGAGGCCACTGACACCACTGTTAGCTGCTTGGCAAAACAAAGAAGCAGTTTAAATGTCTGTACAGGATAGAAGACCCTGTACATATACATTCTCCTCCTCATGAAAGAACAGTCCTCCACCAGTACAAAGAGTTCTTTCTGTCAACAAGGGTGCTGTATTTAATCACAACTCAGGTGGGTCCAACGTGCAACTGCTGTTGCACATAGACACATTAGAAGCTTCAAGGCATTGCTGGTTTCCAGCATCAAAAGGCCCCTGGCAGAAAGCTAGCACAGCTTCTGGTTTTTGGTTTGGTTTGGTTGGTTTGTTTGTTTGTAAGGAAACTAGCCTACCCGAGCCTGAGCACTGTCAGGATGTTTTTTTCTGAATAACAGCTTTATAATCAGTACCATGACTATTTCACCAGAAAAGGAAATTTTAAAGGCGAACTGTGGAAAGCAAAACAAAATAATCTCACTTCATACTACTGATTCAGACAAAGTACAAGAACACCAGTATTTTCAAATCTACTTTCCAAATTCCTGTAGAGATCCAGTCTTCTGATCACATTTCTGCAAAGTGCTCTATATAGTCACACCCTTCCCACGGTTGGTTTTCTACTCTTTGTTCTAAACTTCATTTGTTATGTTTTAAGAAAACTCCCAATTTTTGAAAACATTTGTTTTTAAAAGATATTTAGAATTACTTATCTATAGTAAATTCAAGATGCCTAAGGAATCTTTTTACCCCTACTCATTCTTAGCTTTGCTTCTAGATTTATATTTTGTTTACTTCTTTAACATGTTGCTTTCCTCACTAATAATTATCTAACACAAGTCCTTCACTCCATTTGTACATTACATAGGTAAAGCACAGCCAAACTAAGAGAATTCTTTACTCTTATGCTAGCTTTTATACACGATACTTTGTTTGCATGCACTATGCATCTTGCCTCCCCCTGGACTCTTCCTTTCTCCAGCAACATTTCTCTTCTCAAGACAATTTTACGAAGTCTAAAATAGAAGCATCACCACGAAGCTCGTCTGTAATACAGTTTACAATGGACGAGTTACCTTTTTATTGCCCTCCTGTGCCAATCTCCAGCCCTGCATTTGTCAAGGACCACTGCAAATCTCATTTACTTCAGACATGATTAGAGAAGACTAGATTATTTATGTGGTAGCAGGCAACAGTTAATAAGTGCTGACCTATTAACATTATTGAGGTCTCCTCTTAAACAGTCTGATGACATTTCATGAAGGTATTAAAAAAAAAATACTGCTTGAGCACTTGGCTAAGAGAGAACAGCCACTCTCAGAATGGATGCTTAGGGAATGGCAAGAAATAGCAGGAATGGGAAACTAATGCAGTAATGCCTATTTACTTAAACCACAGTAAGGGAGCCAATTGCAAAAAATCTAACTTAGGCCATTACTGCAGAGCATCATGATGCACAGTGGAGCCTCTGGACTGGCAGGATCATAAACAGCTTGCAGCAAAGGCTGAGAGTGCTCCGTTCAGACAACTGTGCAGGAGGGACAGAAGGTTGCAGCCGGAATCGGGTCCTTACCTTATTAGGGGATTTGAGTGGTGAGATCGCTATTTTATTTGGTGTCTGTTGTGTTGTTGTACTCAGAGATGATCCAATGACTCCACTCTCAGAGATTGTTATTGTCTTTGGTGGTGTTCCTGGAGCAGACTGTGAAAGAACCCTACCTACAAACAATGCAAGATACCATCAGCTCAAGTTATTCCTGTTTATGTTAACTTTTAAAGCAATGTTTTCTCTGAATATCCTGCAATTGATCCCTACTTCTGAGAGTGTATGACCTGGTAGGCGGAAAATCAGCATTTTTTAAGTTAGATTTAGCAACAAAGAAGAAAATAACTGGCATCATTGCAAACAAAAAGACTTGAGCTTAAAAAAGCCAAAACAGATATTGACCTTTCTGTGACATCCAGCTGAAAATTTTTTAAAGCCAGGACAGCATCCTGAGGCATGCAGCAGTCCAATACACCTGCGCCGAGCACAAACACCCAGCTCACAGTTTCCCAAGAACTCCCTGGGCTGCTGCAATGTACAAAGAAACTGAGCATCTGTAGGGGACTACTTCCTTTTAAAACCTCAGCCATCAGAAACAATCGGTGTTACAGTGGCCAGAAAAAAGGTCTTTGGTCTGTCTATGCTCAACTCTAAGTCTGGTGGGGTTTTGTGTTTTGTTTTTTTTTTTCTTCTCTGTGTTGGTGGTGGTATTTTTCAATCTCTAACAGAATATATGACAATATGTGTGCTGTAACTCTACAAACTATCTGCTTTTAGAGTAGCACAAAAAGTTAAACAGCAAAACCAACATCTCCAAATCATGAAACTGGTCTTAGGAATACCGAAAAACTCCTACAGTGGAAAACACATTTTTAATTTTTTTCCCCCCATACTTCTTAGTTTCTTTCCAAAGAGTACTTGACCACTGAGCTTTCCTCTGCTGCACTTTGGCTCAGACTCATTTCTGTCATCGTTTCTCTGTCACCCATTCTCTTGTACTACATTTATCAAAATAAGAAACAAACACACACCAGAATAACTTTTCCATCCAAAACCAACCAGTGGCATGACAACTAAAGAAACTGGAACCAACAAGAAAAAGCATCATCCTCATGGAAAGCTGCCTTCCTTACATGCTCTAAAATTACCTTCACTTTTGAGCAGCCTACATAACAGCAAGCAGCTGCTAAAGGCACATGCAACCTGAAAAAAGTCAAAGTCTCTGGGAATTTTACCATCTACAGCATTCGGGGTTCTGAGTTTGTTTTTTCTTGATGACAGCTTTCCCTTTCTCACTACAGCCCTTTGTCATCAGCTTCCTAAACAGAAATTTGGTTGCTTGTATTGATAAGTATTCCAAATTTACAACTTTCACCTCAGTTTTCAGAAATTCTCAAGCAATTAAAAATATTTAACAGATTCATAAAAACAGGCATACAAGATCAAAAGACAACACACAGATGTTACACATTACCCAAAGTGCTGTCAGCCTCTCAAAGCTGTCAAGCTGTGGTGGCTGTTTGGGATGGCAAGAAGAAAGGCAGATCTTTAAAAAGATTTCCATCTCAGTTAGCATCACCTCCCTGTGATGCTTCTCTCAGAGGATTAGGGACAGGTACTACTGATTTTGCAAGACATTGATTTAAAAGCTGGAAGTTTGTTTATTTTATAACATAGCAGCTTGTCAATATTACATAGGTATGTTTGGATTTGGATCTGGAGGCAGGAAATGTGAAAATTCTTGTACTGTTTCTGTTGGGGGCTCCTTACTGATCACCGGTTCTCATGTGTTGCCAGATGAAAATGCATGGCAGATTGAGGTGGCTCGTTTCAGGGGTCGTAATGTTTTGGGTAGGGTTTGGGGTTTTTTTAATATTTTTTTGGTGGGTTTTTTTTGTTTGTTTAAAACACACACAAACAGCTAATTCAAATATTTATAAACATAGTGAAGCAATTTTCTTATTCACAGGACTCTACATTTGGTAGGGAAATGTTTAAGGATTAAAACTGGGGAGTGGGATGGGGAATCCCTCTTTCACCCAAAACATGAGTCAGGCTTCAGGGTGCAGGCAGCCTGACAACTCAAGGAAAAGATTTTTTTTTTCCCCAGTTATGTGCCATTCACTTTTATCTAAACTTCTGAATACAGGAGACAGTTGCATTCTTTTTAAAACCAGATCAAGTCCCAGTTCTGTAAAGGGTTAACAAATTCGTTTAAATATGTGAAAAAGATTTTAAGCCTACTTGGGTTGGTCAGTCTGGAAGCAGCTGAAGACATCCTTCAAAGTTCTGAAGATGCCTCTGGTTTCCTACATTTTCCTTTTGTGATAATTTACATGTCTCCGATGTTACTGGCATAAATGCAATGATACATCAGTCCCAATTCCATAATAAAAAATTATTACAATGTGAGTTTCTTTAATTTTGTTTGGTTTGTTGTTTTTCTTTTCTTAAAAGGACACAAACATAGATTTTGTTTTCTAAAGAGACAAGCGATTTCTTATGTGTCCTAATTACTTTCTTAGACTCTTCTGTGATGCCTATTTTTGAAGTAGGTGAGCAACAGAAACAACACAACTTTATTCTCTTTTTTCAATCATTTTTCCTGTTATTTGCATCTATTATATTTAAGTTCAACTATAAGCAGATTAAAGTAGTACAAGAGCATGTGTCTCCTTTTTGCTCTATGTATTGATATAATGCATCTACAAATGCTTTCTGTTTATCAAGTAGCCTTTCCTCTGGCTGAGGTGTTTATATTCTCCTCCCCAAAGTCCAGACAGTAAAAGCATCTTACAGTAAAAGCTAAATGATCAAACTCTGCAGTCCCAAAGATAATTCTAAACGAGCAAAGTATAAAGGTACCAACAATTGACTTTATCTGCTTCTACCCACAAAATTTTCTGCTGACATTTTGTTTTCATTTGCCTGAGGTACTTCAACAGAAACTACAGTAAAATCGAGACCAACAAATTTCTATCACCATATCTTTGAACAGCCCTGAAGAAAAAGGTAAAGCAAAACAAGTCAAAGTAGTACAACCTGCAATGACTGGTGACACTTGAGTAGTCTGCCCTGTAACTGCTTTGCTATTGATTGGTTTTGCAAAGATTAGCTTGGTGATGACCGGACCTGAAGTTGGGGTTCGGGTCTTCTTTGCAATCTGAAAGATGAAGGAAAAAAGATCTAATGTAACTTGAGCATTTTGGATCTAAATTATTGTATTAAGTATGTTAGAAAATAAAAAGGGCAATACTCACACACATAATTAGAAGAATAATTGCTTATCTTGCATTTCACCCCCATTTCTCAATACGGAGAGAACTAGCTTTGAGAAATCCCTCACAGCTTTTTTTAAGAAATTGCTCTGTGTAAATATACCTCATCTTCAAGATGCTAAAATTATTTCTTACGTGCCATTGGTATATATAAAGAAGTTAAAATTAAATGCACAACTCTCAATATTTGAAGCTTTAAAAAAGTTCCTTCTTTTTCAGCCAACCATGACAAAACTTGATTCCTTGATTGATTTGGAAACTACTGCTCTGAAACACCTCTTGACCTATTCTGACATAGCAGCACACTTTTAATCCTGCAAATGGGGAAACAGCCTTCTTCAAGAGTTCTCAAAAAGTAGGTGGACCATCAGTCCCTGAAAGTTTTAGGTACTCGCTAGCCAAGAACAACTTAGCTATATCCAGGCACAATGGAGTCTTTTTTCTTTCTGTCATCCAGTCTCCTGAAACGTAACTGAATCAAGAACATGTATGTGCAATCTGATGAGACAGATCACTTGAAATCTTTATAATCAGGGTTTTAAAGTCTTCAAAGTTTTAAACAAGACTCTTTTCCACACTGACAGAAGTTAACTACTCAGTGCTTTTATCCTAATAGTTTCTATACACTGGCATCCAGCTGGTGAATTGTTCAATTAAGAGGCTGACTTCTTTCAAAGACTATTTTAACCTGCTGACTGCAGAGGCTGCCTGCATATGCGGGCTATCACTAGAATCTTCCTCAAGTCTGAGTGAGCACACTGTAAGGCACTACTCAAGCCCTTACACTCACCCACCAACAGTCAGTTGGTGGGCACCAGCCACCAACTTCATCAACATCAGAGGCGTACAACATGGGCATCCATGTGGGGAGCCACCTTCATAACTGGAGAAATCTCACCGAGATGAAAATATACAGAGATGACAGCTACTTTTAACAGTCTGAGAAAGTTGTGAGTGCTTAAATGAAGCAATTGAGTAGGCTGAATGTTATGGTTTCCTACACAAAACACTATTCATAGATTTGCTGACTGAAAACACCTCCTTTACAGTACAGTAATGCCAAAACATTTGAAGTCTTCGGTAGCACATAATGAATTCCCCAGCTGCCCCACAAAGAGCACATGTGGGGCTGTTTCAACTCCCAGCCGCACACACGCAGCACGGCCAGGGAAGCCAGGGCTTCCCACTGCTACGAAACTGGAGCCCTCCAGCCCCCCATGGAAAGCAAATGCTGACTCTGCATGCCAGAGCTGTGCCCAGACAAGGGAAGCTGGCAATGAGCAGCTCTGACACCCAGCAGTGCCCAAAACCAGACCTCATTTGAAGGAAGCCATGTGCTGCTCCACAGTTACAGTACAAGTGTTCCTCAGAGACCTTCCCCTCTTGCAGGTGAAGGTCATTTGCCCAAATATGCTGCACCCAGGCCATGGTAGCTGCTTTATAGGTGACATAAAACAGTCAAGGCTTAAAATGAAACAGAGAAGAAAAAAAATCCACCTGCTCTTTTTGGAGATATATTAACTAAAACCTTGAAACATGCATTGTTTAAAGAAGGAAGCTTTATTCAAAGCTCAGTTTAGAAATTTAACTTAAAGCCATTTTAACATTTCAAGGTTTCAGTTGTCTTAGCACATACACACCTAACAGATGAGCAGGCATTTTATCAGTAAATTTGTTTGCAAATTAGCACACATTTTAATTTCTGATAAGTTCTCCACATTTCATCTGCTTGATTTGAGATTTCTGTTCTGCTGAAATTAATCTCATCCTACCATAAGGTATTATTGTAACTCAACTGCTGTTGCTTTTACTCTCTGAAGAGAGGGCAAAGTCTGGCTCAGAACGTGATCAACATCCAGTAGTAATAAACAGCTCTGGACAACAACAGCCGTTCCCTCATAGCAGTCAATAAATATGCTTAAATGACTTACATGAATACACATAAAATACTAGCTACCCATTAACATGAAATATTTCAGAAAAAAAAATTAAAAGTCTCAAAACTATAGCTGGTCAACACAAGTAGCCCTGCTTCCCTCCGACTCAATTTGAAACACCCTCCTCAGATAAATTTCTCCCCGATTTTGGGGTGAACTGTTGGTCTACAAAGAAGGAGGTCTAACAAAGAAATAACCCCCCCCAAGGCTTAGGAAACATGGTGTGGTGGTTTAGGCCCTGCCGGGACTGGAGACCACGTTGCCGTTCCCCCTCCCCCACCCTCAGCCGGTCAGGCTGGAAGTGAGGCACAAACCCCAGGGTTGAAATAAGGAGAAATTTAATACAACAGTGTAATAAGCAATCTGAACAACAACAGTAGCAGTGATAACAACAATAAACAGCAATAACAGTAAACAAGACAAAAGATATAAGAGAAATACCGCAGTGGTTACAGGCAGCTCGCTCGCGATGCTCCCCGTCACCAAAGCCACAAAGGAAAAAGTTCCCGCGCTCCCAAGGCCGGACCTGAGGTCAGCATGGTATGAATAACCCGGCTGGAGATCCCTTCCCCCTCTCTGCCGGGGAAACTTAACCCTATCCTAGCTGAACCAGGACACATGGCAAAACTCAAATGTTGTTGGTTATAGGTGAGCAACAGCTGTTGGTCCCCAAAGCGCTGGCAGAGTACTCCTGCCCTTGGAGCTGATAAGCCCAGCCACCTGTGAGAGCCTTCTAGGCAATGGTGGGAAAGTCACTACCCATTTCATTAGTGACTGCAGAAGCCAGAGGAAATAATCAAGATGACAGACTGCCGGTTTGATGCTTCAGAAAAAGCAAGCTCTTTGGAGCCCTCTGCCATTGCTCGTACTAATCACAAGAAGCTTAACATCATTGCTCTGCCTACATGGGCTAAGCAAGCTCCCGCAAGTTACTTTGAATTAGACTGCAAAAATATTTCCTGGAGCAACAAGCTCTTCCATAAGAAAATTATTGTATTTACAAACACACACCAACCGCCATCCCTCTACAGAAGAGATTTATCTGCCAGCATCTTTATTTGAACAGTCAATTTATTTCTTCCTAAGCACTTCCCACTAAACAAGATGAACTAGCAAGTTTCTATGGCCCAACTTTGTTTTTAACTGTCAAACTCTGTTCTATTCATACAGAAGGCGGCACAGGCATACCTCACATATACTGTTGGACTGCATACCCCCACAGTCAGCTATGACAAAGGAGCTAACATACTATATATGCAATTCACTCCCTAGATAAACCCATAGGAGCTTGTCCATGTAGCCATGCCCTATGTAATTTCTATTTGATAGAACATGAAAAATCAGGGACTCTAGAAATAGGAGAACAGTGTACTTCAGAGGAGATGAAGAAACTGAGCTAGGAATGGGAGTTTGCTCAGAGGTTAGGGAGTGCACAAGGGCACTTTTCCATTACGAGATGAAGCCACAATGATGGCCTAGCAGTTGTCTTGCCATGGTAGCAATGATGCTATGGACACATAGATTTAACTGGTGAAATGCAGAACCAATTATCACCTCAAGACAAGCTTAGCAACAGCAATGGTGATGTTTCTGGACATCTGGTTGAGAGTCATTTGCAAGGCCAAACTCCTGCTTAATGCACTTGGACTAAAGTAGTACACCAGCAGGCACACTGGCAAGCTAGAGTCCAAGGAACATTTTGCTAAACTCTATCAATTACGCCTTTTCTCAAGTGCTGATATTTCAAATGTCAGAACTGGATTACAGCAAGGCTAATTGAGTTTCTCTGATGACCTGCAAAGCCCCTGTGACAGTGAGAATGTAAAGGGAACTGAAGAGAGCTTTTTATCAACTCATCTTTTATCAATTCACTTTTCAGCACCAAGTCAAACTGCTGTGCTGCCTTGCATCCGAAATACTTGGTTCACAAACCCAGAAGGAGGTAAGTTACACAAGACTGCTGGGAGGCAGGGAGGCATTCACATCTTCCTTTACTCTTACTGAAAGGTTAAGAGGCTTGTTCAGGATAACAGGGTAAATGCATGACTTCATTTTCTAAGCTAGGGACTCAAGGCATGGGCTACCAATGATAGCGTAGACCATGAATTTCTTGCCTAGCCTCATATATCCCTCTGATACTTCACTAATTTCTTACAGGGAAAAGCACTGTCTGGGAAGTGCTAATGTAATTATCTTCCTTGCAGTACCAGGTACTTAGAACCACTAAATGCTGCCTTCTTGCTTCACATTTCTATTTCCTCCTCTCCTTATAGGAAAAAAAGAATGCCAAGTGTTAACAATTCAATCTGTTTTGCAAATGAAAGCAAAGATTTAATAACGAGACCACAACAAAGCAAATTTACTCAAACTGCAATTAACTAGATTTACAAATGGATGCAAGTCCATTTGTAACAGCTTCTATTAAGGAACCTGTAGAATTCCTAATGACAAACAGCAAAGGTCAATTGCCAAGTCACTGTATTTCAGTCACTGAAGGCACAGGTCATCTCGTGCAAGAAAAAGTAAATCACCGCTAAATAATTCTCCTCAGTTTCCAGTATCTGTCACTTGTCAGTAAGTGACTGAAGCCAATTAAGAGCAACTGATACACTCTTAAACATTTCTGTTCTGAGTCAAAAACAAAGGTTTTTTTTGAAAGCTATAATGACAATCATATCATTAATGATCAAGGTACAAAAATAAAAGTCACTTAAAATTGATACGTTTCAAACAGCTATTATTAAACACATTTTCCACTGGTATGATGCAGCAACAGAAAAGGAGAAAGAAATCAGTTCAGGGATCATCTGCAGCTTTAAAACATCTTGAGAGTAGCTCACATTTGCTTGCCATGAAATACTAGCTGGGAAACTTACCACTCAGCTAAGTCTGTCATTTTTCATGTGCAGCAAATTAATTTTTATAAGCATACTTAAATTTCTCATTTTGTTTAGACTGTAAAATAAATACCCTGCATTGAGTTCTACTTTTCCTTCACTGTCATGAGGTCTTATTTCTGCCTCACTGCCAACTAGAACAAAGTCACACACATTTAGTTCTGCCATAAACCAGATGAACATCAGACCCTTTGGGTCATAACCCAAGTCTTTTCAACACATTTTCAGATCCCAGTAGATTCTCTATGGTTTCAAATATCTTGAGATTCACGCCAGAGACTGGGAACAAGACCTTCAAGCGTCCAGCTTACGATAGCGTCTAGTCTATCAGTATCTATTAACAAGCTTAATTATATTTGAGGCACATAAGATATAGATGTTCTTTTTGAAATGATGGAAGGTTTTTTTCAGAGCATTTATTTAAACTAAATGGCAGAAGCTACTCTTTCATAAAGAGTAAAACAGTGTACACTTTGAATAAAGAACAGGCATCTAGAATTCAATTCTGTCTTCCTGAAAGCGTGTAGAATTCTTTCTTATAAAATGAAAATAACAGAAAAATTCTCTTCAATTTACTGAATTTTAATAGCGCACTTTCTCTGAGGCAAATCCTAAATTTCTAGACAGTAGCTAGAGGTAAAAGGCATAAAATGGTAAATGCATCCACAGATGAAAGCATGGGCTAAGAGCAGCACTGTATTTTTAATACAAGGAAAAAATGCAAAGGCTAAAAGCAACCATGTGTAAATCGGTGAAGGAAATGGACAACAGTTGAAGCAACAAAATTGTTTTTAAGATGTCTCAGTGTAACTCACTTTACCTGTACTGTTTTTAACTGCTGGGTCTGCAAAACAGAAGGCTGAGCCGCAGTGTTTATCAGCTGACTTCCTTGCGTCAAAGCTGAGACACCAACAACAGGTTTCACTTCTGACCGACCTCCAATAACAACTTTGATCTGCTGGCCTTGTACCTTGGAGTCTCCACCTTGAGCTTGGGATGTGGCCTTCTGTGCCTGTGGGAGTTGGCTGTGGGGTAATGCTAAAACAATAGGTTGGCCGGACTTGCCCAAAGTTGTTACAATTAGCTTTTGACCATCTGGCTTAATACTCTGATTGCCTATTTTAATATCGGCAGTTTTGTTCAGAATAATCTGATTGGCTGATATAGTGACAGGGGTCTGAGCACCAAGTTTATGGAGGCCGCTTGAAAAGGCAGGCTTTACTACTGCATTCACATCAGCTTTTGGGGTTGTAGCGTTCACTGTTGTGTCGCCTGAGTGATTGCTGGGTGCCGTAACCGATTCTGTGGAGACTGTGACTGTAGTCGTAGCTGAGGAGTCGCTGGTGGAGCTTATGTTCACTATTTCTTCCAGTTCTGTTTCCATGGGAATAGAATCTCCCATAGGCGATGACACGATAACTGCCTCAATGCTGTCGTCTTCCACAAGAGTTATACCGGTGTCCATTATTTCCTCAGGGAGCAAGTTGTTGACTTCTGCTGAAACCACCTCCATTTTAGCAGTTGTGGCAGTGATGATGGGAGCAGGTACTGCAATAATATTAAAAAAAGTTATTGGCTTCCAAAACCCCATAATTTTCAAAGCTTTATGAATAATATTACCAAGTAAGAAAATGTAGCAGCAGAAACTTTTTCAGACTGAAGGTATTGTGCATGCACAGGAGGGATATAATGAAAAAAATTGTTATCCAAACCTAACACATTAAGCTAAATTTACTTGCAGTAAGAATTTATATCAAACCTCTTCAACACCATCCATTGAAGTCAAATCAAGGCACTGACTTGCTGTGGATTATCAGTCCACTCTTGACAACACAGTACACAAAGCAGTAGTGTTCCCTCCCAAAGATACAGGCACCTTGTTCACAGACATTTAAGCTTACTGAAATAAAGTGAGAGTGAAACAGATTTAAAAATTCAACAGATGATAATGGCTTTTCTCATACATGTCAACACTGATTAGCAGGTTATCTTGCCTCAAGGGGCTTGTTATCCATACCAGATGTAACAGGTGTTCATTTTTGCCAAATCCTCGTTTTAAAAATCTCAGAAAACCAAACAGCTGCTTAGTAACAGGCAGCTCACTGTTAACCCCATAAGCTCAATCAACAGCCATGGACCAAGCCAAAGTCCTGCCTTTCCAAAATGACAGATAATTCCTCTATGCTGGCCAGGAAAAGAGCAGATCAATATTTTTTTTCCTCAATACTCACAAGAAAACATAATTCATGATTAATCTGAAACTTGTTCTAAACACAAAATAACATGCCATCTGAAAGAAAACAGGATTTTTTAAGCTGACTAATAAGAAGTGACCAATTTATATGAAAAAACCCTACAATAAGATTCAAAGCCAGAGTCACTTCCCACCTGAGAAACCTTAAAGACATTGCTGTAAATGGTTATGTCTATCATTCCCATTAAAACCGTATCGCTGTCAGAGGAGAAAAAATGATCAGCTTAATGTTTTTTTCCCCCCATTTCCTGACCCCATCAGCACGCTTGAGCACTGGACAGTCAAGCACACTGCATGGGTATGTGTACACACTCTCAAGTATTCATAAGCTCAAGACGGTGTGATCCTTGAAAATTCAGTTTAGTGCTTGCTAGGAAAAGCAGAGCTGAGTTATTTGTACTAAGTTACATTAATAACTACAAAACTGTGTCACTAAAAACCACTGACCAAGCGCTGAGATGACATTGATTCCTCTTAAGTCACTGTGGTTACACTTTGCAAAGCAGCTAACTACAGAAAAACTGCATTTTGCCCACAAGGTAGAAGGATGGGGAAAAAAACTCTGCTGTAGTTTACCCAGTTTCTATGCCAAGCTTGGCTTGCTCCAGCACAGCCTTCCTGATCATGAAGGGTGCCATCCTGATTCCCCTCACCTCCAGAATACAAGCCATACTAAACTGTCATGATACTCAAGAAGCCTGAGCTGTGAAAGAACTTGTTCAGATGACTGATGGTCAAACTCACACAGAACTCATTTATTGGCAGGCATTTAAAGATACAAAGTCATCTGATGTCACTGCCAGAAATACCTCCTTTGGAAAGTATCTGTCCCAAAGTAATGCCAGTACAGTTTGCAGTGATGCCAGTCCTGGTAACCAGTGCTAGACAAAACAGCTTACCCCTAAGGACACATTAGTAATAGTATCATATTGTTGTCTTAAAGTCAAATTGGGTAACTGCACAATTACACAAAAAGATTACACAAAAATAGAATTAGTAAAAGCAGACTGTTTCAGCATATGCTAAGGCCACTCCTGAATTGTGTTGCTTCATCATCTCCTCAACCACCTCCATGGGCTTGTGTATTAGATATTACAGCTTTGAACTATTTCAGACAAAAAAAAAACAACAAACAACCCAAACAACCACCACATCATCCTGTTTGATACTGATAAGCACAAGGCTTGAACCCAGAAGTTAGACTCCTAGGGTCAACTGTAATCCAAATGCTGATTGCCTCTATGTTTGAAAAGGAGGGAATCATGTAAGTCAGACAGTGGAAAAATCACCAGATTTAATAATGACAAATAATTTAAAATCATTTACTTCTGTTTGCATTTGTACATGTTATTCCTGAAAAGAAAGGTCATTCTTAGTATCTTTTAACAGTATTTACATATATTTAACTAGTTGTACTGCTCAACAGTTACTTATATTTTTCATTCTCACCATTTGGTTATGTTACAAAGCAGTAAATGGTTAAATAGTTGAAATGGTTATTAAATCTAGTTGAAATGATATTTATATTAAAATGCACAGTCAGGGTTTTAAACACCTTTCTGACTTCAAACAAACCACTTCCAAGTCAGAATGCAGAAGGAATAGAAATACATTACATCGAGTCTGGAGTCAGTAACTGACATGTTACATTACGTGGTTACTGGATTAACAGCTTACACATTGGAAGATTTTAGTTATTAGGTCTCATAATTTTACAGTATTCAGACTAGAGTCATCAACAACAGTAAGAAAAGAACCACAACATAACCCACTCACAGTATTTCTTCACCGCTCATTGGATATGACTGAAATAAACACATGAAATGCAACAATGAAAGTCTCATCCTAGCTGCTGTCGTCAAAGGCAGGTTCAGCATCCCAGCAGATTTGACTTCTGAGTATTTAGCCAGGATTTCTCAACCATTCAGCTGTTCATTTTTTTTTAATGCTTTTACACCAAACACACAGTTTCAATTTTTCCAGCTCTTCTACTGAAGTGATTTCCAGAAGTAAAAGTATGTCAATTTCTTTTAAGATTTTAAAAGCTTGGAGATTTTCAGGACAGGGTAGATAATTATTTTAACTATGTAAGAAGATTCAAAAGTTTGCTTCACTTCAGCAGTTATGCTTTGAGTCACTTGATATTGCAAGACCTGTACTGACAACCCCCCAAAAAGATGCATTGGTGTTTACACTTATTGAACACAAAACTTTAAGAAAAACATAATCTAAGGAAGTGGATAAGCACACTATCAAACTGGGAAACTCCACAAAAATTGTAGGATCACATTACTAAATAATTTTAGCCTACAAAATAATGTCCAGACAATTAAATTAAAAGCTCAAGAAGAAATTCATTTAATGAAGATTTGTTTAGAAAAAAGACAGTCCCAGCATAGCTCAGGACACCAAACCAGACAAACACATGAAAAACATTAGGGATTAAAGCATATTGCTAGCAAAGTCTCGGATCAACAACTCTGGAAAAGGCTGAGTACTGTTAGGAGGAGGACAGGGACAAAGGCTCAGCTTGGGTGAACCACCTCTGATCATGTCATCCATAGCACAGATTTCTATATTTGATATTCATAAAGAATAATATATATATATATATATATATATATATATATAATGTCATAATGAGTAAACGAGATTTATAAGGAAGAGGATAAAGAATGACATTACTGTTGGCAAATATACAGAATGGTGCCTGACAAGATACCTGTGAACTTTGATCTGTTTTTTCGTGTTCTGTCACTAGTATGTCTGCAGAATCTTGAAGAAACTAATACTGTTAGTGTTGAGATAGATTTTGTCCATACCTTTTTTGATAAAGCATGCAAAGCAGCCACAACTAAACAGCAAAATCAAGAGAATCAATAAAGCATACTGATCTGCAAACAAGTAAAAATGCACAACATAACACCTGTAGTTTATTACAGTAACTAACTGCATCTTATTACATCTCTAGAAACACCCCCATTTCACTAAGATATGAATAGCTAACGTTTCAGTCTGTAACCATGAGCAGTTCGAGTGCAGCACTTACATGAGCACATGTTGCAAAATCATCAGTGCACGTACATACTGCGAGGAAAACTGTTCAGAAATTCCAATTACTTGGAAATAAGGCTGCTGAGACCAACTTGACAGGATGTCCTGAGATGGTACTGCATGTTAGGAAGATCATCACAGTGAAGCAGTGGACCAAGGGACTCATCACCATCTGTGGTCCCAATAGTGGTCCCCTTCTCAGTACAGCACAGGCTAGTGGTGCTCAGCCATGGGAAGATTGTGCTATAACTTGACAGCTTTAAGAACACTTGACAGACCTGCCTTAAGTCATTGGTACTGTTAATTTTAAACTAAATTCTTAAGTGTCACTTTCACCAGAATATAGGGAAATTAAATCAGTAACAGTTTTTGCATGAGCACCTATCTTAAAGTGGAAAAAACCCCACCCCAAAATCAAAACCTTTTTAAATGCTTTAAGTCCAGCATAGCTCCTAAAAATAGCAGGGATTCTCTTAGGATCAGTAAAACTGTTGATGCATGCTAAGCAAATGCTACCTGAAACCAAGTATCCTTGCCACATACATCATCAGATAGTTCTTTAAAGCTGGGATAGATGCACACACTTAAGTGTAGCATTATTAAGAGCCAGCAAGGGCAAATACTTACAACTTCCTGACTTAGGAACTACAAAACCCCTTAAAATATGAAACACCACAAAAAAATCCCTACCCACAAGAGGTCACCACTGGGGTGACTGTCCAGGAGACAAATCACATGGACATATCTAGCACATATGAAACTAGTTACTACATCACCAACCACAAGAAGGTGGAAATATCACCACATCTTCATTATTACAATTTTCCTCCTGAGGGGTGTAATGCAGGACAGCTTTGCAGCTCCCCAAACCCAGAAAGTCATAATCCATGCATTAAGGGACTTACAAGTGTCTCTACACACCTTTGGTGCTGCAAAAGGCCAAGACTTTTCCAAAGATCAATAAAGTTAAGATGATGTTGTTAGGTTTTAAGAGAATCAAGGCATATGCCTAATAATTTGCAAAGTGTAACGGAGAACACCAATAGCTGCAGCATCTCTCAAGGGATTTACCAAGCTGGGGGGGACGAGGCTAGAAACTAGGGAAGATGAATGGCACAAAAGTGATAGAAAACAACCTAACAAGGAACTGTTCACTGCAAGTACAATGGACTCTAAGCACAAAGGTGGGGGGAAAGCACAAAAGAATACAGTACCACCAGTTATCGAATACAAAAGGGGTAACATTTGGCATTTCCATTGCAGAGACAAAAATGTGACACTACCATCACTTCTCTTTCAAATAAAGGTGGAGCAGGAGACTGTTGGCAGGCCATGGCTCAGATTTGATGATTTTAAAACTCAGAAATCCCACAATATTCATAGGATACTGCATTCATAAAACCATAATATTTCTCTTGACTAGTGAAGGTTTAAAACCAACTTAATTCCTAAATCCAACCATTAGGACAAAGGCAAGAGCCTTTGACATCAAAGGAAGCATGGGAAATATGGAATGGATCCTTGAAGATTTATCTGAGAAGTATGAGATGCTGTCAGCCACATGCAATCAGTTTAGGTACTTAAATGCTTTACAAATTTTCCAGCTTCTGCTCATCTGCCCTCTCCAACAGTGGTGATATGTAAACTCCTGAAGTCTGCAGATCTGAAAAACTGATTTTTTTTTTTTTTTGTATTAACACTTAGATTAGGCAGTTTAAAATTACCCAGCCTCAAGTAGCTGGAAGCTGCAGCAAAAGAGATCCAAGTACTATCCAGTGCGAACACTGCAGGAGCAATTCATTCACCCGCTCCTA